AGTCATGTTATTTTATTTATGTATAAATTAATAAAAATGTCGATATTACTTAATTGTCAATTGAACGTATTATATTACAATTATTATAATAATATATAAAATATTCAATGTTTCAATATTATATTCATAAATACGTTAAATTGGGTTACCTGTGTTTGTTACAAATGAAAAGATTTAACGATGAAATACTTGACGCATATTATGCGAATTACGTAAAGTTATTCTCTGATGCGTATGCATATATATAAGTAAGGACATAGTATGAATCAATAGCTGCATATTAGCTCAGATTAACGAGCGTTTTCTAGGCCATTCAATACTTAGATACATCGCTTTCCCAATTATGCCAAGTTCATAGTTTACGACGATACTAGTAATGAATAGCTTTGCTGACAATTACGAGAACAGAATGAAACATTACCAAAGGATGTCGGTACACCGTTACCTACTGTATATCCCTATAGGAAACTTTACAATAGCCAGAAAAAAAAAAAACTACTGATGTGGTCATCGCTATTATATTTCTGATGAGACTATCTGAAATGACGTCAGGTTACAAAGATCAAAGGTAATGCCCATTACCGATAATGAAATGAATTCAATTTAAATGCCAATCTAAATAAATTGATCGTTCGAAATCATTTTTATTATTCAAGGTTGACGAACTTCGACTATTAAAAAAAAAAAAAAAAATATCATGTGAACAGATCACACGTGTTAAAAGTAAAACCTTCGGAAAGCTAAGTTTTGAGAGAATGAGACGAATGCAGAATATCAGGTGTAGGATAAATGTAGGGGTTGTAATTTTGTAAATATTATTATGGTAATATTGTTACCACTTTCAAAATATATTTTACGTTATATTAACATATAATACATAACATATTACACAGTAGACAAGTTCTCAATTCGAAGAAATAAGACAAGTTACTTCTGGTAAACTAAAAAATGTATGCTAAATAAATATGTTTTTATATTTTTATATAAATAATTGTATATCAAATTCGTATGTTATTTTTTCACGAAAATTCATAATCACCGTTTGACTCAATGTACACATTTTTTTACGCGTTGGTAAATTTTGGTCCCGAACGAATCACGAAGAAGAAATATCAGTATATTTATATATATATGTATACCGTCTGCAAAGCTGCATGCGGAACCGCAGAAACGCGTTCCAATTTCAACGGTCCATAGCGAACCGGCTGATATTGCAGTACCTAACTATGGAATGGGCAAGGGAAGGAAAGGGAACAAGGGGGAAGGTTTAGGTTTGCGTATTTGCTTTTCCGATTCCTCTCTTGCACGATCCACCCTATGTGCTCGTCGTATTCGTTCTCTCGAACATAATCCCTCTTTAACGAAAGATACATTGACGACATATTTGTTTACTCGAATGCACATACCAATGTAACACATATGTATGTATATATGTAACGTTAGTTTGTAATATCTGTTAATTCGTGAAATAATCAGCAAAATTTTCAAATAACTATTTCGATCTATTAATGATAGAAGACAGAATTATATACTTTAATTAGGTAATCTATGAACTTATAAGAGACGATTAATTAAATCGAAAAATTCTAATCGCGTTCGAAAGAAAGAAGGAAAAAGGGGTAAACTGATATAACAAACTATGATATTTATATATATATATATATTTTTTTTTTTACAGCCTACGAAAAGATACAATGCCGGGTATTCATTGTGATAAATCAAGTACGTGAAAGGCCTTCATTGTGACACACTCCCTTCTCCTTACATCACGATCATTGGCGAACCTAACACAGAACAAGATCTCAAGCGGGGAAAACCGCACCGAGATTTTGCTCCTTTAGTCAGAAAAGAAAATATTAAAAAATGGAAAAATAAAATGGAAATTCTTTTGAAAAATGTTATAATAGTTATGGTTTTTTTTTTTTTTTTTTTACTTTGATTTTGAAAGTATTGTTCTTGTCATTTACCACCACGTCGTGAGTTTCTTTTCGAGGGCATAAATTTCTTTTGGAATTGTCCCAGAACACGTTTGCGTCACCATAACGTTTCTCCTTCTATACGCGTATATATTTTATCCCATCTTTTTTTTTTTTTTTTTAAATTTTATTCTCTCATCTTTTCTTCTCTTTCTCGAGTCATCTTTTATCCTCATAGAGAGAAGAAACGTTACCGTTGGCGAGATTAAAAACTTTAATTCAACGATGATCGTTCTTCCTTTCTTTCTTGACTAAATTTTTACCAAGGCTACATCCTTGATAGGAGAATACACGAAAGAAAAAAATAAAAAAAGAAAGGAAAAGAAAGATAGAGAAGCTAGAGTACCACGATACACGTGAAATTAAAATTAATTGGCCATGAGTCACTAAATCCAAGAAACAAGATTTGATCATTTATTCGACTGCCAGAATAATTTATTTTGATTTTATCTTAAATGAAATAATCATAAATCAAAAGTTCGTAATTACGTAGAAAAAAAAAAATCATTTGACTAACAAACGAATGGATTAAAATATACGGCGTAATACTTTCTTAAGTCTACCTTATTAGAGAGTCGATTGCAAGCTCAAGGACGATAACTAGGTTCTCTAAACCACGGTACACTATGCGGTCTAGTCGACGAGACAGGTGGATGCAATTAAACCGGATCGTTCGAGAGCTATCTTGCAATTGCCCACTCACTAGCGATAACGTTACCTTCTTGATTTAAAATAAAGAATGATCAACATGGAAGATGAACATGGTACAATTTATAAACAACTGGAGAAAAAATGTTGCAGTTGTTGATTATAAAATCATTTCAACGTTGATACGTTGCAACGAATATTTTCATTGAAGTTATTGCAAATAAAGTTTTGATACAATCTGTGTTAGCATAACCAGCTGCTAGTCTCGGGAAAGGAAAGCTAGTATGTAGTGGTCCCCGGGGTGGGTGGGTCTCAGTCACCACGACAGAACGTGTCCTCAGGTTGCGGATAGAGGAAGGGCCTTTTGGTCCTGCATAGGAACGGAAGTTAACTGCGAATAAATTGAATAAGCAGTCACGGACAGCCGACTTGGAATTGGCCCTTCTGTTCGAGGGTTGGTCGTAGGTCTGATTACCCAACTCCATAAAAAGACTTTATAGATAGCCATAGATTCTACTAGGGTCAAATTTTCCGGAGGTAAAGTAGTCCCTCGTTCGGATCTCCGGGTGGGGATTACCTTATTAGAAGGGACCCGAAAGAAATAGGATAGGAAGACTGCGAATGGAAGGATAACGCTCAGAGACGGAAACAATGGCGGGATTTGGTATTTGCGGCAATGAACTTTCGAGTTCCTAATGCCAATTAATAATAATAATAATAATAATGTAAGCTTCAAGAAAAAAATTGGAACGCTGGACTGACTGGACCGGGGGACTCGAACCACGGGGATCTTTCACTTTCCAGGCGACTGCTCTTTTAACCAATTGAGCTATCCAGGGCCCACCCAGGGACCAATTCCCTTCCACGAATGCTTAATAAGTTTGGCATGGAGGCGTTCGTCCTACAATAATATAATATTACAAGTGTTGCCACTAAATTAAACCGTGTCGAAGTTATTTATATCTTACTAAGAAATAATCTTATTTTAAACTAATGCATAATGCAATATATATGTTTATGAATTTACCGTACTATTTATTGCTATGAACTATTTTTGTAAAATAATATCTATTTTCAGATAGATTTATTCTATTAATTTAAAAAAAAAAAAAAAAAAACCTTGATCAGTATATCGAAGAAATAAACGATAAGAAGAACTTGTTCAATAAGTTTCTCTTAGAAGATTGCAATTGTTATACTTCGCTTATACGAAATAACAAGCCAAAGTCTATTTAGAGAGCTTGCATGCTGACCTAGCACTAAAATCACTCGATCTATATTCGCTTTCAACTAAATGTGCACTCGACCAACATAAACCTTTATCTTACTGATAGAACCAATTCGTCGATCCATCGAACCATTCTAATTCATCACAATTGTATATAAAGAAATATTTGAGATAAATATTTGAAAAATGTCTAAACAAATAAATTACATATAAGTTATCGTTCAAATTTGTACATTTAATAAACATAAATGGTAATACCGTTAATAAAGATTAAATTAATGATCGAAATGCATATTTATAAATCGATATTCGATGAACATAGATTATCGTATCTATGTGACCAATCTCCTATCCTATCAGCCTTTATTAACCTAAACAAATCGGTCCGATATCAAGTTGTTCGAAGGTAGTTGTCAACGAACACGATAATCTCTATGTATAGTTCTAACAATAATTGCATATATAACCGATGCAAGCAACTAGTCGACTTAATAGGTTCTTAGGTAACATGCATTTTTGCATATCTCTTAACTTCAGTGACAACGTACAAAGGTTGCATTTAAATATGTTACGTTTAAGTTATTAAAAGAATTACCTTTCTTGTAAAACAATTAAACTATCAAACATTTTATTCGTAAAAATTCCTCGACGTGATCCGGTTTGCATTCCAAGAAACGAAAAGTCGTAAAATAAAAACGTTTATATAATCTTACGATAAAATGGAAATATGTGTTTTAAAATGCAACTTATTTCTCGAATAACGAAAACACGACGAAGTTCGTGAAAGAAATCTTTTCAGAGGTAAATTTGTATACTACTTTAAAATGCGATCTACGTCGTCCGTAAATAAAAAAAAAAATAAAAAAGCATTTTCCGTACGATATATTTTTTAGTTCGTTGATGGATAAATTTAACAAGAATCGCGATGAATAATTTATAAATTTCTTTGATGAAAATCGCGGGCATTTTGATAACGGCAACTCTGAGAGATCGATGATCCGATGAATGAAATTAAACACAGTAAGATTATATATATACGAATAATATGAAGAAAAGAAAAGAGATGCAGTTATAAAAAAAAAATAGAAAATTGATCAATCAATTTTCATTTGGATAAAAAAATTATAGAAAATTCTAAATCTACTCACCCTAGAGATTCGTAAGGGTTGGTGCAGGTCACGTCCTCCGTGCATTCGGAAGCCCCAAGGGGAGCCGCCAAGGAGGATGACTTCTCTGGCACTCATCCTCCACCTCCACCTCCTCCACCGCCACCTTTTCCTCCACCACTTTTACTTCCACCCCCTCGTTTATTTTCTTTCAACGCAAACACGACACGCGCTTCTTAATCGCGGCACACTTCGCGCCGTTCGTTCGATGCACTTTTACTAATTTCTTCACGTGTACCGCCGCGATAATGACCACGACATTGACAGCGATAATAACGATGACACGACAATCGATGAGAATAATAAAAAAGTCAAGAAGATAAAACACGGTACGCGTGATTCTCGATTCCACCTCGTCGTCGTTTCAACTTGTACTCTTCTATCGTGACACCTTCGTTTCTCCAAGAGTTCGTAGTTCATGATATTCACCGCGCAATTCGCTAGTATCGCCCTGGATAATTCTCTCTCTCTCTCTTTCTCTCTCTCTCCCTCTCTCTCACTCTCTCATATACACGCTAGACTCATTACGCGCTTTTTGCGTCTCTCACATGTATTAAACTTAAATAATGACAGCTAATTTACACTATACATTAACTTTCCATGCGTGACATCTCACAGATTATCAACGAAGTTATCAAATATTCATAAAAAGATAAAGAATGAGAGAGAGAAAGAAGGAGATTATTAAACGTTATCAATAACGTGACAAAACGTTAAATACACGGAAAAATCTTGCCCGACACTTTGACAGGTAGTCTTATCATCCGAATCTCGGCGTGGCTCGCGTTAGACTAACGTCGAATTTCGTGTATCACCCCCGGCAGTCCCCACCACTGACTCCAATCCCCCACCACCAGCTTACAGAGCTCGGTAGTCCTCGGCAGCCGTCAATCGTGAACCGCGCTCGCGCCATCCGCCGGAGACGGGTATCGCCCCCCCCCCACACACACCTCACCATTTCTTTCCGTCACTTTATCACCAACATCCACTCCATCGAGATCGCTCGACCCTCGCGGAACTCAACGGAACTCGTTCATACACCCTCTTTCCTCCCCCATTCATCTTCTTATTCTTCATTCCCTTATAATACTAAAACTAAAGCTCTCCGACAGTCTACTCTTGTCCGGATTTCGAGTATTCTATCTTGTTAAAAGAGAAATCAAAAGAAGTTGTATTTCTTTAAATTATCCAAATTCATTCTTTACGAATAATTTCATTGATTTTAATTACTATTATAAACTAAATACAGTCTTATATATTATATAATTATTATATATATATATATATATATTGTATATGTATTTTTATATATAGAAAATAGAAAGAACAGTAATTTACATTAATCCTTTATAACACTGGATTAAGTAATTGTACAACGAAGAGATTCCATGGGTTAAATCAAAACAGTTGGATGTTTAATCAGATACTTAAAGAAATTTGTTATTTCATAAAAATTAATTCTTTTTTGTAGTGAAATATTTTCGTTGTTATCACTATTATCGGAAACATTTCACGCGTGAACAAGTGGCTGTAGTTTTGTCTAATCAAAATTACCTGTTAATCATATAAGCACCAATATTACCGACCGATCATAAAAGCAACGAATGGAATTCACACACCAAACGAATTCTCTCATGATATTTTGAATCAGAAAAAAACTGAATTATCAACAGTAAAAAGTTCAATTGTTTAAAGAAAATTATAAATAATAAATTATAAATTGAAAAGAATGTTAAAATCCAAACGTTATAATATTGAATTTACTTTATTAGAATTTTAATTACCGTTGCAGAAATAATCAACATAAGAAAAATCATAAACAACTTTCTAATCAAAGTTTTGTTTTAGAGAACANTTGAATTTTCTTTATTAGAATTATTATAACCGTTGCCCACATGCTCAACATAAAAAAATTGTCATATAAACAACTTTCTAATTAATGTTTTGTTATAAAGAACAACGGCTCAGTCTATAAGTGAATTTCGAAGAGGAAGGAACTCCAATAATATATCTCGTACTTTTAAATAATAATCGATACTTCTATCGATTATTTAAYAATTATTTTAATATTCTTATACGSTCTACTTATATTACAAATAATTTTTAGTTTCAGAATCATCACTGCGCATGAAGAATAAATTAATTCCATTAGAATGAATAAAATAATAAAATTTGAACGTTATAATATTGAATTTTCTTTATTAGAATTATTATTACCGTTGCAGAAATAATCAACATAAGAAAAATCATAAACAGCTTTCTAATCAAAGT